TAACCGACGATAACAATGGTGGTGATCACTATGACGATGATAAAACGGATAAAAAAAAACAATGATGATGCAAATCATCGCAAATCATGATGATGATGATGATGGGTTGCAGCTTCACAATCGGAATTCAATGACATTGAATCAATGACTGACAATGACAAAACTTTTCATTCACGGAGGACCCATTCTGCCTTTTTTACCGTTATGTTTTCACGGCCAAGCAAGTCCAAGAGTGCATGCTGCGCAAACAGGGCAAAGCCATTATGCGCATTATGATCGTTATGATAAGTTTTACCAAAACGACCAAAAAAACTCTTATTGATTCATGAAGCCCTTAGGGCTTTGCAAAGATTGTTAATTGAGGACTTTGCAACAAAACGCAAAATTCGATCGCACTGGGGACAAAGTCATGGGGAGCATCCTTTGGCCTGTGGAAACAAGAGAAGATGCGTACTTCATGATGTCATTATATGTCATTATCGAATATATGCCATGCCATAATATCGATAATATGATCATAATATCGATAATATGCCATTTGTGCATACAACGCATACAATGCCATATGTTTCTGCCCAGCAGCCCAACGGTAATGGTGGCATTGACGTTGGTGAGCCATTCCAGCAAACTCCTGGATGTCCACCAACGCACCAAATCATCGTGCTTAGTGGTGCTTAGTATCCTCAGCTGCTGGAGCCAATCCGATACAGCTGGGAGCCTCTTGGGAGCCTGCATTGTCCGATGCAACCGGGACACTTTCGTCAGATTCACAGCTCCCTATACATCCCTATAAGTATACGAAGTATAGCTCCCCATTTTTTTGATTGGCTCTTACAGCCAGGCTCTTACAGCTTTTTTTTTGGCTCTTACAGCCAGGCTCTTACAGCCCTTTTCTCTGGCTCTTACAGCCAGGCTCTTACAGCCTTTTTTTGGCTCTTACAGCCAGGCTCTTACAGCCCTTTTTTTTGGCTCTTACAGCCAGGCTCTTACAGCCTTTTTTCGCTTTTTTTGGCTCTTACAGCCAGGCTCTTACAGCCGTTTTTTTTTGGCTCTTACAGCCAGCCTCTTACAGGCTTTTGCATCGCTGTTCCTGCAGTTCCTGACATCCACCCTGTGAGGCTTCGAAACGCTTCGAAACCTCCCCTAAAGCTTGACTATCTATCTTAGATTTTAGACTATTTCCCCACCTGCCAGGTGAGGGTTGTTAGATTTTATCGGATTTTGTCAGAGCTGTTCTCGGCTAGCTTCTCCTCCTCCTCGTCCTCCTCCTCCCTGCCCAGCTCAGTGTGCACTGCTGGACCTCATGGCCAGATAGAATGCCAGAAGAGATGCCACATAGAATGTCAGATAGAACGCCGGAAGATATGCCAGATAAAATGACATGAGATATGCCAGATAGAATGCCAGAACGCCAGAAGATATGCCAGATAGAATGTTACGGAATCGACGGAATGTTAGAAGATATGCCAAATAGAATGCCAGAAGGTATGCCAGATAGAATGCCAGATAGAATGTCAGATAGAATGCCACACAATGCCAGAAGATATGCCAGATAGAATGCCAGAAGGTATGCTAGGTAGAATGTCAGATAGAATGCCAGAAGGTATGCCAGAGAAAGCGAGAGAAAGTGCCAGAAGATATGCCAGGAGATATGCCAGATGGAATGCCAGAAAATATGCCAGATAGCATAGAATGCCAGAAGATTTGCCAGCAACAAAACATATAAATGTCATGGTGGGGAAAACTAGAAGTAAAGTAATTTAGTACATAATATCGATAATATCCTGTTGATATTTTGTAATCTGAATCCGGCATTTTACCATCAGTGCCCTGGGGTCCAGGCTTTCCGATCCACTTTGCCAGTGGCCGTGCGTGGCCAGTCCACTCTGCAGATGCTTGATCCGCTAGGCACAGCGCCGGATGCAGCGAGTGATTTCTCGTGCTTTCTGTAAAAAAAATTGTGTCTTCCCAGCATGTATTTTCCACCCAGCCCCGTGGAAATTGCCCATTTATAGTTCATTTTCCATGATTTACCGATAAAACTTGAATGGTGTTAAAACAAACTTTTGGGGATCATAGACACATAGAAGTAAGGTAAGCCAAAGAAATGTATAGACAGGACATAGACGCATAGAAGTAAGGTAAGCCAAAGAAACGCATAGATCATAGACGCACTATTGCGATTATTGAGATATTCATAGACAGAATGCAAAAAATGTATTTTATACATTTTGGACCCCCCCCTTGATATACATTTCTAAGGGGGTGGTTCGTCCAGGAGGAGGATAAGGAGGAGGATTTGGAACCATTGGAACCTGGGTCAATCTGGATGCAATTGTAATGTAATATATATATATATATACACACGCACACACATTCATTGTCATCATGCACAACGATGTGCCTCTGAAGTCGCTGCGGCACTGTTTTCCTTGGCAATTTGTTATATATGTATATAATCATATATATATATAGATATTTATACACATAAAAACAGCCTGACATGAAAAGAATCCAGCCTGTGATGCCGATTTCGGTGTTGGCCGTCGTGTCCACATTGTATCAGGTAGCTGAGCCTGACAATAGATGAACGTTTGTGTATATATATATATACAAACAATACATAAATACATATAAAACATTTATATGTATATATATATATATGTATATCTGTACCTATCACATGTATAAATATACATGTATATATATATATATACCCATCCAACAATTAAAAGACACGCGCCTTCCTCACAGGTGTTCGTGATCTTGGCCTCTGATCCTGACAGTGACAGGTGTCAACAGTTTAAAAAAAAATATATATATATACACACGAGTAGATGACATTCTTTGAAATGAAAGAAGCCAGCCCGTTTTCCATGGCTTGACTGTATTGGGCGAGCCTGTCAATTGGATCTATGAGCATCTAGAGAACATCAATTATATATCAATAAACAGCAAAAGCCACGAGATCACACAAACAAGCCTTAGGTAGTACCGTTGCCGCCTGCCCCTGGTCGGTTGCAAGCAGGTTGCTTCTGTCTCATTCATGATAAAAATGACAACAGCTATATATATATAAATACTTACACAAAATGACAAGTTTGATTAAAACATGCAGTTGGTTATGCTTGCCTGACCCCACTTGGGCGGTGGAACATGCTCGGCAATGATGCCGGCATGGCGAAAATGTCTCGATATATATATATATATATATAACCCATCGGTGTTCAATCGTTGCAAATTGAAAATAACCCATATATATATATATAGTGATTTTGAATGGACATTATATATATATATATACACATGTATATACATATTCGGAATTCATGAATGCAATATATATATATACACTGTACTATAGATATATTTACCCATATATATATATATTCCATTCATCTAACTGTACATGCATAAATAAATACAAATAAATATATATATATACAAATGTATACGTAGATATGTATATCTATGTATATGGTCCCTTGTGACAAAACCACTAGAGTCCCACACATAGAATCTACACATGCAGTGATTGACACAGGCAGTGCGGCGGGAGCCAGGAAGAGCGGCACAGCCAAACCACAACATATATATGTCAAATTGGCGCATCGCTCAATTTACGCTTGTATATTTTTTGTTTTTCCTCCCATCATCATATCTAGGTATAAATCTATATATATATAGAGATTGGCACTCGCCAGGTGGTATGAATGAATTGCAAAACGAACTGAGGCTCCCGCAATTGGAATATTCTATCTGTCTATATCTGTCTTAAGTTAAGCAAATTTATTTTTTATTTTTGGGTTGAGTACTAAATCTATTTTTTTAACTTTTTTTTTTGGTGTGATTTAGTGTATTCACCTGGTAGCAAGTTTTTGGATGATTTTTACCGGTATCTTTTGAATATTCTATCTGTGAAAGCATTCTATCTGCTAGAAATGCATTTAGTACTTAAAAAACAAATGTTTTTGAGTACTAAAATATTCTATCTGGTAGAAATGATGTATAATGGTTAATATAGTTGTTATATAATGGTTAATAATTGTTAATGATGGTGAATACCTGGTTAATGGGTATATTACCAACAATATAGTAGTGGTTGATAGTGGTTCATCATGATTCTTTTCGTGGTTAAAAAAGTTTAATGATGTGGGGAACCCCAATACCATAAACCTACCATTTATCCATGTATCCATTGGGGGGGTAGTTTATACCACCTATTTTTTTTTTAACACACAACTTATTTGGGGGATGGTTTATGATTGGGTTACCCTCCGGATCCCATTTCTGGATGATGTTCCCACTACAACCATCATTTTTCGGGGATTTTCCATTGCCACCTTTGATTACCAGAGGGTATACGCCCTTGAAAAAACAGCTGGGGTCACCACCCCCCGCCAAAAAAAACAACTCCTGAAGTGAACCCAAGGGCCCCAAGAAAAACCATCAACAGTGCGGGCTGTAGCCATGCCACATGTCTTGATGTGTGGCAAAAAACCCTAGCAACGTATCTTGGCTGGAATTCAAGCAGAATCATTATCCCAGGGATGTATCTCACCTGCTATATCTGGCTAATAACTCCAGGAACAATGGTGTAATCAGTGTAATCCACGCAACATGAATGGGACAACCCGTAGTTGCATCATATAAGTATATAGCAAGCCCAAAAAGGATAAGAACAGTAAAATCCTACTGACAAAAATGGTAAATGACATGTTTTTTCATCTTTGGGGGGTCACTATAGAATACTATATAATCATACATAGAGTTGTACAGCAGTTTAATGATACAATAAATTGTAATATAATTGCTATTATATACATATACATATACATACAGCTACATTTACACATTATATATATAATATTATAATTCTAATTATGACTATAATTATAATTATAGTTATAATTATGTAAACATATCTATACATACAGATGCAGTTACAAATATTTACACATATATTACGTATATGTTGAATCATGCTACTAACCACTCAGCTAGCTGGGAACGAACCCAGCTCGCTCCAAAGATCCAACCGATTCTCCACGCGGCCTGTGACTTATCTTCCACCGTGAAGAAGCAGGTCCTGTCTCTGCGCGTCGCTGATCGGGGTTGTTCAAGGTGGTGTCCCCCAAAATTTTGTGTTTGTTGGTTTATAAAAGTGAATAAACTATAAAAGTGTATAAACCATAGGCCGCCTACATAAACCTTATGGTAAGTACCTCCAATTTAGGAACCTGAAATGGCCAGTATATAAACCATAGGAATAGTATAGCTGGTTGGTGGTTTCAACCTACCCCTCTGAAAAATATGATGGAGTTTGCCAGTCGGGATGATGACATTCCCAACTGAATGGGAAAAAAATGTTCCAAACCACCAACCAAATAGATATATCATGATATATCTACCACAAACCATAGTGAAATTGGAGTTACTTGCACGCACCAACTTAGCGATTTAGCGCACTTCTAGCATCAAAATCGCATCAAGGATTGTAATCTACAATTTCTGGGAATGTTGATGGGTTTCCATTGCCATGTTTGATTGGGACTGGTCAGGAATTTTCATGTGGGCATAATTATCATTAATTATCTGGGTAAATGATCATATTTCACCAATCTGAATCTTGCGGCCATTTGGGGATGATCTGCGTCCTGGGTCGACGCGTCTCTCGCGTCTCGGCAGGCATAGCCAGGCCGCGCTCTTCCACATGCGTCTGGTGACCAGGCGGAAAAGCCATGGGTTTTCCTTAGGAATTTGGTAGTACAAATGATAGATTCTCATGGATTTTCCACATCTATGTTAACTATGTTAATTTCCCCTGCCGCCTGGGGTAGCCTCCAATAAACTATATAACACTTTGCTATGGAAAATCAGATCAAATCTTCTTGAGTACCCGGCCTGGTCAACGTTAACTAACATAACGAACTCGAAAGATTCACCATTTTTAATGGCTATTTAATAATGGGAAAACTCGCTATTTCTATGGCCATTTTCAATAGCTATGTAAAATTACCAGAGGGTATTTGGGATTCTATGGATTTCTATGGTTTTGTTAAGGGATTCTATGGTGAATGGGATTGACCGGGATTAACCACCACCAAGAATTACGAGTTGTTTGAGGCTCATTAAATGTTATTGACCAGCGTTGGGGCCGGTTGGATCTTCATGGTTTTGCATCGATTTATCCACCTCTCTTGAAAAAATGAGAGCAAGAATATAATGATGAGCTTAGCTACAAATGTACTACAATTAATGGGTGGAACCATCACTAGTTTTCATATCACATCAATGGCATAAATCTAGCCATACATGGCACATTCACACACAGATATGTATATATATATATGTCAAAACTGAAGACTGGCAGGTACCGATGGATGATTTTTACATATACATTTAATGAAATATAACTAAATATACACACATGTACCCTCTGGGTATTTAACATAGCCATGGAAAAGCACCATTTATAATAGGTAAATCCACTATAAATGGGCCATTTTCAATGGCTATGTTAAATAACCAGAGGGTATGCCATGCGGTAATCAAACATGGCAGTCTGGACATTTCCAGGCCTTCAGGAGTTGCAAGACCATCTTCGCCGTGTTGGCGTCGTAGTGGTGCAAGGGTCGTTGCAGCACCAAGACTTCCTGGTATTGAGAAAGAAATGCTTAGTAAATGCTTGATGATCCTTTAGAAAGGGTGAGTTATGGTGACTTTGATCCCATAGAACCGGCAAAACAAGGGAAAACTAGTGGAGTTAGTGGCAATGGTAATGGCAAAGTGCTGGAAAAATTGGTGGCTGGTGGATGTTATTTGATTCTCTGAGATCTAGAAAATCTGTTCAGAAACTGAGTGGCAGAATGGGGCTCCATTCAGTTTGCCGGGATCTAACGGGCATCGAAGCACAGTCTGCAACTTCCAGGCATCCCATGTTTTTCAAGCCAGCTGAGGCAGAACATTGTCCACTAAGTAGCCCTAATATGGGGACATGATGGATTCCAAATTCACACGACCAAAAAAGACAAGGGGAGACTCCAAGGATCTCCAACGCCCAGTAGACAGTGTAAACATGTGTAGACCATCCACCAAGTGTCTTAGATTTGTCTTCATGGTAACCCAAAATAACAACACATCTTTTTGGGTTGAATTTTTAGGGACCCGAAAAAGTGATGGGACCCCTATTCCAATACTACACCCATAAGAAACCCATATTCCATATGGCTATTCCATATGGGTAGCTTATGGGGGTTCCCATGGCTTCTCATCGGCCGGTGATGACAAGTGGCAGGATTCATGAGCAAGGCCCGGGCCAGGTGTAACTTCACCTTCCTGGTAGGTTGGGCTTCTGGGCCCCGCTGCCAATGGGGATTCCATGGGATCTCATGGCCCCTTTTGCCCTTTTGAAAAAAAACTTGATCACCGCCCCGGATTCAGCTTCCCTGGTCATGATTACTTGCACATATATACATGTATATATAATTATATATAGATAAAATGAAACTCCGCCTGTGCGTATACATACATACATTACATTACATTACATTACATTACATTACATTACATTACATTACATTACATACATTACATTACATTACATTTCATTTCATTTCATTACATTACATTACATTACATTTCATTACATTACATTACATACACACATACATACATACATACCATACATTACATACCATACCATACCATAACATAACATAGCATAACACAACACAACACAACACAACACAACACAACACTACACTACACTACACTACATTACATTACATTACATTACAATACATACATACATACATACACACACACATATATATATACATACATACGTGTGTGTATATGTATGCTAATATATGTGTGTGTACGCATAAAACAAGTGTATATAATATATATATATGTATGCATCTTATGTAAGGTTTATCTCCTCTTTTAACTACCGGTATCTGCCCTTTACATTGCTGACAGCACCGTCTCACCACCCATCATCTTTGTGGCTAACCTCAGGATCCATGAAAACCTACCATGCAGCAAGTTGGGTGTTTCAAAAAAGTGGCTTACCCTCCAGCAATCAAACGTGCCAATGGAAAAGCCCTATAAGTGAAGGTTTCTAGCTGGGAAATCAGATGTAAATGGTGGGTTTTCCATCGCTATGTTTGATTTCCCGAGGGTACTCCTCATCACCATTGCGTTTGCCAGTAACGCGACCACTAACTTGGAGAATGACTTAGGCCCAGCACTTTAAGAAACACCCATCACAGCATATCCTCTCGTACCGCACCATGTATAGTAATTGATAATCATTGTTATCCCATTATTGTACCATGCCCCTTTGGGAATTTGATATAGCTATTGAGCATAGCTAACCGCTCAATTGAACACTGTGAAAAGAGGCAAATCATCAAACCAAATAATGTGCCATCTATACCATAGCAAACTGTAACAAATAATCATTTCAGGCAATTCCCATGAATGTCTCCCTTTTTGCTGTTTAAATCTGTATTCATCACCATAAAATACCAATGATCCCAGTATTGTACCATCATCCCTAGGTTATAGATTCCCGACCATTACATCGCCATTTTTCGTTGCTGAAGTCGCCATGTTTGTTGCGCAATTAGTCACCATTTTCGCTGGTTAATGATCTCTCCGAAGCTTCACCTTTTGAGCCGTCCATTGTGTCCCAGGCGCTCGGTGTAGGTCAAGTTTTCCAACCACGAATTCTCGGCTGCCTCGGCATCCTCCTTCGCACCTTATCTCAACGAACCACGGTCTTCTTATATATATGTATATATATATATACATATAGAGGTAATTTTTTGTACCCCAATAATTAATTACATGGTTAACACTAAAATACACTATATATACATCTACTAAACCACGGTCTTGTTATATAATCTCATCCCCCTTATGATGCTAAACACCCCCATTTCATCCCATTTCTATGGTCTCAAAAAGAATGAAACAGTTGAAACATTTCCACTGCAACGAGATTACCTGTAGATGTTTGATTTCCACGTGGAGTATCAACTTTTTTGGGCCCCTACGAAACCATTGTTTCTGAGGTGTGTTTAATGAAGAGGGGATGGAAATCCTACGGAAATAATGGGCAATGGCAGTTCTATCTTTCTGGGTTCCTAGTGAGATTGTGTTGTGCCCATTTTGGACAAATCACGGCCAGGACATGGTATAGTCTATCATCTACCTATTCGTTCTTGAATCGAGGGAATCCCTAATCAACCAACACGTGGGGAAAACACATCTATGCTAACTACAATTGTTTTAACCCTGATTTCCCATCCCAAACCATAGATACCAGAGGACATTATTATGGGTAAAAAAAACAGGTTTACCCAAAAAAAATCCAAAACGTGGCAGCTTGATCCAGGTCAGCGGTGGATTGAACTAGACAGTCCTTTTTTGCCCCAGGTGCTGGAACACATGACCTGGGTCAGTTTCCTTGAAGGACTGAAAAAAAGCAACACTTTTCTGTTCTGAATTTTCTCCTCATAGTTCAGTACATCATTCAGTAAAGATAGAAGGAACTGGAACTCACCCTCCATGGTTTTTCCAGCTCCCAGCTCCATCCAGGCACTGGCCGTATCAGCATAGAGCTGGGTTTCCACCAGTTTCAACGTGGCTTTCATCTGCATCGTCTCCAGGATCCGACGCACCTGCGGAGAGGCTAGACTGCCGTGTCCTGGTGGGGTTGGATGAAAATGGGGCCATGGCATACCCGACTTTTGGGCAAGTTTGTCTATCGGGAAAGTGATGATTGATGAAATGATGATCATGGGATGTTGAATGATCTTGATGGATTTCAAAACTCTTTTAAAGCCTCCAAAAAAAGATCGAAACATCGATTCTCTCCAAGATTCTCCCAGAAATGTTCAACCCCAGCCCCAACCGCCCTTTTAAAGGTCCCTGTAGCCGTTGCGGCACCCGGGCAGGGTCCAGCGCTTGCTCACCGAAGGTCAGGTTCCGCCAAGCCGATGTCTCAAGGACAATGGCCTCCTGTGTCACGTGCAGCACTCGAAGGTGCGAGGGGATGAAGATGAAGCCCTGCTGTGGAAAGACCACCTGAGATGGAGCTGACAATTCATGGTGAATGATTGATACATATTGATACCACTGCTACGGAGAATTCTTGAATTCTTGCTGTGGTTCTACTGATATATCCCCCAATGATTGAGAAAAATGATACCAGTTCAACCAAATAGTGGCGAAACAAATTGTGGAAATCTCAGAATCTGGTTGCTTACAAGTGCTTGACCATACAAATATACAGTATATTACAGTATAGTATACTACCACAAGGGAAAAAACCATCAGAAAGCAACCAACCATCAACTTCAAAGGATCATCGTTTTCCCCACTAGCCTCCTCTAAACTAACGTAACTAACATAGATGCGGACCAAAAAAAGTACAGTAAATACTTTGGTAAATCATCATAAATCATCTTCCAAATGGGCCATTTTTACCACATCTATGTTGGTTTACCCCAGGGTACTGTCATGTCGGGCTCCCCCCACAACCTCTCACAGACCTGAACCAAGCACCGTCAAGCCACGTGCCCCAGCAGCCGCAACAAAGTGGCTTTCCCAGAGCCGTGGGGGCCGTTCACAGCCACCAGTTTTCCTGCACTTGGTCTTACCCTCTGGTAATTTAACATAGCGAACTGGAAAATCACGATGCTATTAATGGGAAAACTCACTATTTCAATGACCATTTTCAATAGCTATGTTAGTTTACCAGAGGCTATTTTCTTTTTCATTTCTTCGGTTTTAAGCTTTAGGGATATCATGGGATAATCATGGGATAATCATGGGATAATATCATGATGTTTCAAGCATTGGGGACCCCACAGATCCAGCACAAAGAGGTCTTGCTTCCGAAAGACTGCGGCGCTTCTGCTGGACACTTCCGTGCCACTCGAAACGGCATAAGGAATGTGATCCAAGCTAAAGATATTCCATTGATATCCCGTTGTATCATATATTATCATATATCAAAGCAGTATTTTGGATGGTTCATCCCAATTTTATTACTTAATCACCATTTAGTTCGATGTCCTCATTCAAACCTCCATGGCTAGTTTGGACATTTCTATGCATTTCCCAGCCATACTTGGAGGTTTCCTAAAATATGGCTACCCCAAATCATGGGGTTTTGATGGGGTTTTCCCTGGTTTTCCGCCTTAGAGAACCAGTCACTTGGATGATTTTGGAGTACCCCCATGACTTAGGAAAGCCCCAGTAATCAGTTGACACCCAGAAACAAACCGAACCACAGGAAACGCTCCTTGTGGCACTTGCAGCGTCACATCTTTGAAGATGCAGGCGCCATGTCGGGTGTAGCTCAGACTCTCCATCCTTTAGGCCGACAGGCCAGGGGGGATACGAAATGAGAAGGATATGGTTCCATTGATGGGGGTAGCCCAAAAGCTGGATGGGTTACAATGGAACATCCGAACATTAAATTCGGATGATTTGGGGGTACCTCTCTTTAGGAAACCTCCATATTACACATATATCATGTCTAGGTATAGGAACCCTGAGATAGAAACTGGGGAGACCATGGGAGACCTGGAAATATTCCCGGAAACACTTTGTGAGTCAGAAAGTGCCAAACAGAATTCAAACAATACTAATCAAATAAAGTAAAAATAAGCACATTATATAATTGCTGAAAGTTTAGGGGCAGGTTCGTTACCCATCACCAGGCTAAACACCTTTCCACTCATACACCGCCATGTCAACAGCAGGGTCTTGTGAAACCCACTCTGGCTAGCTAGCTCCTTCCGTTCTTCCATCCCAAATTTCCCTGGAGTAAGCAACTAACCTGGAGATATGATGGATACAAACGGTTTCTGAGAACATACGGGAATGAAGGCCAACAAATGATCTAGGTCAACGAACATGTCTCCCTAAACACAAATGATCTAGCTCTTCTACAAGGATTGTGGGGCTTGGGTCAGCTACAACCAACATCAACAAGTTGAGCATCTGAAAGCTGAAACACAACAAGCACTGTCCTGATGGGGATGAGATCTGTTTTGTACATCACATCTGCCAAAGACGTTTCCGACTGCAGTGCTTCGTCACGCGCTCGCTTCCTGGTCGCGCGAATCGAGGTGAAAGAGTGATCAACTCGGATGAATCAGGTGAAAGAGTGAGACTGCTATGATCAAGTCCCATTTCAAATGAGTAGTCATGGGATATCATGAGCTTCAGGGTCACCATTTATGATAAAATGTATCATGAGCTTCAGAGTCACCATTGTTCCAAGCCAAGAACTGACTTTCCTGACACGACAAGCTCAACGTTTGCTAACTCAAAGGCCATACAGTGGCCATGATGTGGCCATGCATGCCCAAATCACTCGCGCAAGAAGCGAAGGGCACTTATAATATTTCATCTTGTTAATGAAAAGATGTCCCATAATGGACTATTACATATGATAAAATAACTTTTTGATATATATATATAATTACATGTGAATAATACATAATAATACATACATTGTTGGTACATGTTGGTACTATACCTATATTTACCTATGTACTATATTACTATATCTATGATTCCCATAGTGCAGCCCCAAAACATGATCATAACCACGACCTGGTAGTTCCAGGCCCCTTGGATGGGAAACATCATGGAACTACCTTCCTGGAAATACTGTTCGGCATCTTTTTGGCTGTTATGATACTCACATGGGGATGGGTCAAAACCCTGGTACCTAGTGAACCCCAAAATAGCTGGTAAATGGATGTTCATCCCACTAAAAATGTATCTATAGGTATTGACCCATACCCACATGTTCATCCATATTCGGGTTTTCCTATTTCTTGCATCTGTCTCCTTTTGCTTGTAAATTGCCATGTGCTCCCGCATCATTCTTACTTCATTTCACGGGCTTCAAGAATTGGACGATGGCAATCAAATCGAGGTCTTCTTTCTGGTCAAGGTGATGAATGGTTGGTGGTTTCAACCCCTCTGAAAAATATTAGCCGGTTGGGATGATTATTCCCAATATATGGAAAAATAAACATGTTCCAAACCACCAACCAGAAAATCTGCCACTTCCCCTCAAACATTTCCACGCCAGGCATCGTGTTCTCTCTGCGCTGCCGATTCACGGCTTTCCAGGCTAAGAGGTCGGTTTCTTTGTTGAAAAAGACCGTCAAGTCCTGAGTCCCAGCGGTTGCGGTTATATTTCATGGGTATAACTCGGTAAACAATGGTTGTATAACCCACTTATTAGATCTTATTAGTAAACTTATAGAGTGGAATTGCACCGCCAAAAGCCCACCAAGCAGTGAGATTTTAAGATGCACAACCGTGTTTTTTTCGCGGTGATGCGAAATTCAAGAGGGTGATTTTACCACCAAAACATGGCGACGCAGGCAATCACGGGAGTGCAAAGCATAGTAAGCATAGTAGCCATCGCTCTGGGTTGGACAGATCTGGACAGTACCGCTGTCCGAAGTGTCTACAACAAGTTCAGGAGGTACTTTAAGCCAATTGCAAGCATTTGCAAGCTACATATTATATGGGCAAATTATAGTAATCCACTCACCTGAAACTTGCGGCCATTTTATTATAGTAATTCACTAACCTGAAATATTAATCATGATTCCAGGCTTCGGTCGCGAGGTGAGGTCGTTATTATTTGCCCAATTCTCCACAGGAGGTGGCGTGGAATCCGTGGAAGTTCATTTTGTGTAGCTGGGGAGTTGTACCATTCCCAACATCATCTATGGGAGACGAATTTGTATCTGTTTTAACATGTTTCAAAATTGTTTTTATCTATTTACTATTTTAATCTTGCTCAGCTCGGCTTTCAGACTATCCCATAAAGATAGCAACCAATTGAGAATCATTAAATCATATTAAAACCTCATTCCAGGATATTCCGTTAAAAAGAAGCAAAAATTACACCACCAGCCACACATGTTTTTTCACTTGTTCAGCTCACCCAAGGCTCTCGCAAAGAGCGAAACTCCTCGATCAACGCCAGAATGATGTGGTACGCCTCCTTAGCAACGGAGTGACACCGGTGTCAACCTCCAGCATTGAAAAACCATGAAAAGCATCACGACTCAGGTCATGCTGGCATGGCATCTCGAACACAAAGCACATGGATTCGAAATGATTCGAATGTCTCAGGGTGGCATTGAGCTTGGCACTTCAAACACATTCAGCTTTGTGGAGTTCAATACTTCAAACAACACAATATGTGGCCTCTGGTAATTTGTTACATAGCTATTGAACATGGCCCATTTAGAAATAGTTGATTTACCCTTAAAACATGGTGATTTTCCAGCGTTTTTTGTATATGTTTATCAGAGGGTAATTCTTTGAGAGATTTGCCCACGAGGCGGGGGCTTAACTGGCCACATGATCCAAGCTAGATCTGCAGCCCGATCCGTTTCACGTATCATTTCATAATTTGTCTATAATTGCCTATATATGTGTAAATAAATACATATATATATATATAAATATATATATATAAATATATAATTAAGATATATATATATATATGTGTGTGTGTGTGGAACATCTGAAAAGATGTAAAACTTCCTATAGCTTTGACTTGGTTCAGTTTTACTTCGTACTTGCAGGGGAGATGTAAAACTTCCTATTGCTTTGACTTGGTTCAATTTTACTTCGTACTTGCAGGGGCGTCAGGCCCATCATACCTACCTGACGCAACGAAGCTATGGTATGATGGGGGAAGGGTGAACTGATCATTCACCTGTACCTGCAGATCTTGGCATGGATGTCGCGGACATAGCTTGCAAGATCAATTTGACAATCTCATTGATTTTCGCTGATGGCAACCGGCCAAGCCAAGAACCGGCACGTCGATATTTTCCACTTGAGGGTTGTCTACTGCACTGTTGTCGCAATCTGGATTTATTTGGTTATTTACAACTGGTTCAGCTGCATCAGAACCTTCCTCAGAGCAAGGACGTAGAAAACTTACTTCGCACTGAAATTCACGCTGGATCAACTAATTTTCCTGGCAGTTTGAAAGGGATTGTTTTGTGCACGTTTGATGCACTCCACAACAAAATTCGCAATGTTGTTTCTGAGCAAGTGTGTCATTCCTGCTGTATACGTCAAGTTGGCAGGAACCCTTCGGGGAAAGCCTTTCCAGGCTAACAATTGACAGTAAAACGATGTCTGAATTTACACTTTTGAATTAGTAATTCGTTTAAGTAAAGTGAACTGCTGGCCTTTTTTCATTGTCTCACTTGTCGGTCGAGTGAGTGTTGAACTGCTGCCCGCTGAGCCTGGGATCATCCTTTTTCATTTGCGGCTTTGCATAGCTGGACGTCACGTTAACAATTCCTTTTCAACTTTGCTCAAGAGAGTACGGAGCTCGATATTTTACTGCATGACTTGTGACCATGTGAAGGCTTCAGGACATTCCTGCAGGTGTGGTGTTTCTTTCTTTTTATGGTCGTTGGTGAGGTTCAATTGTGCATGTAATTCATTTGAATACTGACAGCTGTCGATAGGGGTTGAAATGAATGCCGAGGGCCTTTGAGCCTTATCACGAATACTGCATGAGCTGTGGATGCATCCAATGTTTGTGTGTTTTTACCATTAAAGTGATCGTCTGACAGTGCTGCCAGACCTGTTATTTTTGGCCATGTTTCCTGGTCGTTGGCCAAACTTTTCGGAGAACATGTGGAACTGTGGCTGGTCATCGCCTGCCTTTACTTCACCTCAACCTGCAGCACAATTTGGTCAATTTTGTGGAGGTGATCTGATGAACCAACAGTCTCAAGCTCAGTCACAAGCTCAGACTCAAGCTCAGTTGGCTCAGTTACGGGACCAAAATGCATTACTGCATCAACAGTTGAATTCCCAAGCTCAGACCCATATTCAGCAACTCCAACAGCTTCTCCCATTCCATCAGACTCCCCAACAAACCGCATCTCATCAAAATCCTCCTTCAGTGCCTGAGCCACCAACGGTGCCACCAGTCCAGACTCCTCCTGTTCCAACTCCATCTCAACCCGCTCCACAAGAGCCACATCCCACTTTCAATCCAGAAGAGATGATGCAACAGATGCGCAACACAGTGGAATCTGGCATGCAGGCGTTTATGGAAATGACCAAAGAAAGGTCTAAGAGCCCTCATGCAAGTGGAGTTCCACTCCCATCAGCGACTCCAGTCGCAGAATCTCCACCCATTGTCCCATTACCACCACTTCCACGGCTTCATCGCCGTTCCAGGTCACGGTCTCAACATATTCCGTCTCAGGTGGACAAACGTCCCATTTCGATCCCGAAAAGTCCAAGATGTCACAGACGGGATAGCCGTTCCCGCCAACATTGTCGACGTTCCCGC